TCTCCTGGCAGTCCGGATGATCACATCTGCAGGCCTGACCAGCTGGAGCACTGTCTGGATCTAGAAGGCTGAGTGCATCGAGAAGGCCGAGTTATATGGATAACTTTTTTTAAAGTGTAGTCACCCACATCTTCAGCAAATGCAGTCAGGGAAGGAATTGGTGACCACTTGTCAAAAGAAGGGAAGCAGACAAGTACTCAGGAAAGCCCCAGAGTGCATTTCGCTCAAACAGTTTTGCGGTGTTGAGAAACTGTGGAAGTGACAGTTCTTCTGGAGGATGCAGTCAAAGCCCAGTTGCAGAAAACGAGAGGAGAAAGAGAGGATAGCAAAAACAGTAAGAAACTGAATGGTGAGGGGTGCAGACAGGCATTTCTGCAGCTGCAGGTGTGACTTCAAGATGGTGTGTTGCCTCTCTGCAGCCATGGTCAATATAATCACTGAATGGGGGATGTGGAACACTCAGAGGTTATGGTTAACATTGGTACCAATGACATATCCATCAAATTCAGCCTTGAATATACTCCATGACCTAGCCTCTACAACTGTCTGTAGTTAAAAAGAAATTCACTACCATCAGAAGAAATTCATCCTCATCTGCCTTAAAAGGGCAACTCTTTATCTTGAGGTTATACTCTCTGATCCATGACTTTCCCATAACAGGAAACAATCTTTCTGCACCTACCCAGTCTAGTCCCTGAAGACTCTCATATGTTTCAATGAAGTCACCTTTCATTCTTCTAAACACCAATGAGTACAGGCCCAACTTACTCAACGTCTCATAAGACCATCCTTCCATACCCAGGATCAACCTAAAGATAAAGCAAAGAGCTGAGGATGCTGGACACCCGGAAGGCTAGAGAACCTGCTCTGGACTGCCTCCAATGTCAGAACATCTTTCCTTAGATAGGGAGCTCAAAACTGTTCATAATATTCCAGCTGTTGTCTGGCCTTGTATAGTTTTAACAAGAACTCCCTATTTTTATACTCTTCCTTTTGAAATAAAGGAACACATTGTGTTTCCCTTCTCTAATATCAAGCTTTTTGTGATTTACACACAAGTGCTCCCAAATCAGCCTGTGCTGTAGCTTTCTGCAGACTTTCTCCATTTAAATAATATTGAACATTCTATTCTTGCTGCCAAAGGGCATAAGCTCACATTTTCCGACATTATATTCCATCTGCCAAGTTTTTGCTTACTCCTTTAACCTGCCTATTATCCCTCTCTGGATCCTTTGTGTCATCTTCACTATTTTGCTGTCTCATCATTTTTTGTGTCATCCACAAACTTACCCATGTTCTGAACTGGGACAAGCTGATTTTAATATCAAAGGCAGGATCTGGCCAAAGTGGATTTGCCTCATTAATATTCAGCATCCAATTTTAAATGCTCCAAAAAAGCAATATGTCACAAATTCTTGTCTTGGAAGTCAGAAACAAGTATCTGGCAACTTCAGCTTCTCGTTGGCTGTGAAGACTTCCATGTTGCCTGAAGATATGATCCAAAGCGACCAGAGGCATGCATCCCTCATCCATGGACACTGGCATCTGACATTTCCCAATTACTCGCAAACATCATGGCACCTCTTTGATCCACTTGAAGACTATTTAGGAAATAAAGACTTGCACTACAGGGTACTCCAACAACTAGCATTGAAAGCTGCTGCAAATACAGGCACTCAGTACACTGTCTGGTCCCAGGTGCTCATTTGTTCTCATAGCACTTGCACACTTAGCGCCTTGCTGCATCCATATTAATGCCTTGCCTCGTCTTGCTATGCCTATTGATCTTTGGCACCAACGAGTGATCAGTACTGCCCTAAGCAAGTGTTCTTTTTTGTAGAGACAATGACAAGCTTCCTGTCATTGAGTGTCTGGATGGGTTGAGGGGGATCGCATTTATGATTAGCCCACAAACATGTCAATCTAATGTCTACAGCAAATGCCAGCTGCCTGCATAGCAAAGACATTGCATGGAACAAAAACAAAGTTGCTGGAAAAGCTCAGCAGGTCTGGCAGCATGTGTGGAGGAGAAAACAGTTAACGTTTCGGGTCCGGTGACCCTTCCTCAAAGACATTGCATGCTTATTCAACCAAATTAACGTCAAAAACTGGGTGGGAGCTGGGATACATGTAATCCAAGCCTCTGGATTTATCCAACTTTAAATGCCTCCTCCCTCTTGACTGTAATTTGTTTGAGTATATCACAGTTGTCTTCTCTGATTCCGTGTGGTATGCTGAGTAAACAGCAACTGGGGTGAGAGAACAGGGTTGTACGTGAGAGGGAGTGTCAGCCATGCCAGATATGTGCCATGAGCAGGATATCTTTGTGGCTGCTGAGGTGTTATATTACTGACTTTTGGGCAAGGGCAGATTGCCAATACTGTCTGGGTGTGTTTAAATATGGCACAACCCCAAGAGATGTCAGTCTTTTGGAAGCTATCCAGTGTGTAGTGCGAACAGTGTAAAACAAGGTTAGAATCCAATATGAGGGACGCCGTAGGAGCAATGTAAGTGATTAATGAAGTGGGTTTGGTGCAGAGGTCAGTGTTTGGTCCTTCACTGTTTGTAGTGTTCATTAATGATCAAGACATGAACATAGCAGGCTTAATCAGTAAGTTTGCCAATGACACAAACATTGTTGGTGTGGCAAATATGTGGAGGAAACCTTAGATTACAGGATGATACAGACAGGATGAGAAAAACAGTGGGAAATGGATTTTAATCCAGAAAAGTGTCAGGTGGTGTATTTTAGGAGGACTAACAAACAAAACAAGGGGGTACACGATGAAGGGTAGGACCCTGAGATGTACAGAGGATAAGAAAAGCCTTGTTGTGCATGTCAGTCATTGGAAGTTCCTTGTTGTCTAGAATGACTCTCTTCCATTTTAAGGTGAGTCCCTAGGTGGCTGTACAGACCAATGCAGCTTCCACAGGCTATTACACTTGGGGCAGAAGGTGGTCATGGGAAAGGGTGGGCAGACCATTGGTATCACAGTGCACTCCTTACACTATTTCCACTTTTTCCCTGATGGCAAGTCTCGAAGTGCTCAACATCTTCCCCGGAGGCTCCTCCTCCACTTTGGATGGTCTTGGGTCAGTGATTCCCAGGTGTCTATGGGAACGCTGCATCTTCCCAGTGGATTCTCAGGATCTCGCGCAGGTAGCGTTGATGGTACTGCTCCAGTGACTTGAGGCATCTGCTGTAGACAGTCCACATCTCAGAGCCATACAGAAGATCACCACTGATCTGTAAACCATGATCTTGGTGTCAGATCTGATGTTACTATCCTCGGACACCCTTTTCCTCAGACAGCCAAAGGCTGCTCCAGAACACTGGAGGCGAAGCTGGATTTCTTCATCAATAGCTGTTTTGGCCAACAAGACACTCCCAAGGTATTGGAAGTGGTTAACGTTCTCCAAGGCCTCCCCATGAACCCTGATGATTGAGGATTCGCTCCACAAAGCTGGGCCAGGTTGTTGGAGGACTTTCATCTTGCGGATGTTCAGGGTGAGATTCATACTCTCATATGCATCGGTAAAGGTGCTGATGATGGTCTGGAGTACATATTCTGAGATTGCACATATGCAAGCATTATCTGCATATTGCAGCTCGGTGACTCTGGTTGGGGTGACTTTGATTTTCACTTGAAGTTGGCAAAGGTTTAATTGTTTCCCACTGGTTCTGTAAATTAGAGGATAAGAAAGGCCTTGTTATGCATGACAATCATGCACAAAGATCTATAAGAGGCACAGTGGCAGTGTCTCTACCTCAACCAGGAAGCATGGGTTCAAGTCCAAGACAACAAGGTGCAGAGCTGGATGAATACAGCAGGCCAAGCAGTTCAAGTCCAGCCTGCTCCTGAAGTGCATGATGACATCTTTGAACTGGTTGATTAGAAAATTTATATGATTTTCAAGTATCATTGAAGAATATCAAATATGTATGTAGATCCATGGAGGCAACAGCTCAGGTGCATAAGGTATTTAAAAAGGCATGTAGGATATGACAAAATAGAAATTGCTGGAAAAGCTCAGCAGGTCTGGCAGCATCTATGCAGAGCAATCAGAGTTAACGTTTTGGGTCAAGGAACCCTTCTGAGGAAGGGTCACTTGACTCAAAACATTAACTCTGATTTCTATCCACAGACGCTGCCAGATCTGCTGAGCTTTTCCAACAATTTCTACCTGGTTCTGATTTACAGCACCTGCAATTCTCAATTTTTATACAGGATATATGTCTTTATTAGTCGACAGTTTGACTACAAGAGCAAGGAGGTTATAATGGAACTGTATAGAGGATTTTGGTTAGACCACAGCTGTATGCTAGTGTGGTAACTACACTATAGGAACGATGTAATGGCACTAGAGGAGTGCATCCGAGATTCATCACGACATTGCTCAAGCTGGAGCATTTCAGTTATCCTTGTCTTGGGATAGCCTGGGGTTTTCTTTAAAGCAGAGGAAGCTGAGTGGGACCTATTGAGATCTACAAAGTAATGAGGGGCATACATAAATAGGTAGAAACATTTTCCCCTTCGTAAAAGGGTCAATAACTGGAGGAACACAGATTTAAGGTAAGTTTCAAGAAGTATGTAGGTGATTTAGGGATGATTGTGGTGGCCATCTGGAACTCACAACCTAAAGGGTGACACAATCCCTCACAACATTAAATATTCAGAAGGTCACCTTGAAAAGCCACAATATACAAGGCTATGGGTCAAATGCTGGGAAATGGGACTAGAATAGATAGATGTATGATGATCGGTGCAGGCTTGGTGGGCCGAAGGGCCTGATCCTGTGCTGGCTATTTTGTTTGGGCTGTGTTGCAATTTCATATTAGCCGTTGAGTGGTAATTGCTGTCCTCTCACCTCTCGTAATTGACGCACACCCGGACAACTTCGTTAGTAACAAACAGTGATTGGATTTAACCCTCCCCCAGCCAAATATATTTTAAACGAACAATGACATTTCAGCTGCCTTTTAAAAGGCAGGTGATTCGCCAGCGGCCGGTGACTCACAGATTGGGCGTGTGAATTTCCTTCTCCTTAAGAAAACAGTTGGATGGGGAGTGATCGACACGGTAGAGATGGACTTCGATATTATCATCCCGCGGATAGGCGGTTTCGGCCGTTACCACAAGCGGTTGGCGGCTGCTGCCTGTCTCCCGAACTTGCTGCTGGCTTTCAGCTTCTTCAGCGACGTCTTCCTCAGCCGGACCCCTGACCACTACTGCCGGCCCGACCCGCAGCTCTTGCCTCTTGCCCTCAGAAACTTGTCGGGCTCCGTCCTCAACTACAGCCTGCCACTGCGAAGCGGCAGCGAGCCTTTTCCCGCCAGTTGGAGTCGCTGCCGGCTGCACCGCTATCCACTAACGGCCGGCACGAGCCCGCCACTGCCCAACGGCACAGTCTCGTGCACCCGAGGCTGGCAGTTCCAGCCACGCGACGGCCTCGACAACAATGTCGTTAGTCAGGTAAACTACTCCTGTACGCTTGATTTTTAAATCGGTGTGACTGGATGCGGTTGACGGCGTTTAAGTTTTCGCCTAATCATATATTTGCTTGCTTCCCTGAAGAAATGTGCACATCTAAAGTTACTTGTGAAAGAAGTAAAAAGGCATGAAGTACAGGGAGCGGCTAGGGTCTGGAAATGCACTCCCTGAGCTTGCGCTGGAGGCAGGTTCAATTGGAAAATTTAAGAAGGGAGTTAGATTGCGTGTTGTATGAGGAATGGAGGGGAGAATGGAACTAATCAATTTGATCATTGTGAAAGTTAATGCAGACATGATGGACTGAGCTCCCCGCTCGCCCTCTGTTAATTCTGTGATTTGTTAAATGAGGGCAAAGTACTGTGGATGCTACTGATCTGAAATAAAAACAGGAATTCAGCAGGTCTGACAGCATCTGTAGAGAAAGAAACGGAATTAGTATTCCAAGTCCAATATGACTTGTTCAGCTCCTGATTTTTTTTTTTAAAATGTCCTGTTGGTCTCAAAATTAACTCTGTTTCTCTCTCTGTAGAACCAGCAGTTGCTAAACCTGCTGAGTTTCTCTAGTACTACCTGTAGTTTTATTTATTTTTTTTTGCTTCACCCTTTGCGTTTTTCCCCCACCCCAAAGTAGGCGTTTATAATACACCATCATGCTTTCGAGTTTGAAGCAGTGGATGGAACTGAAGGAATTTGATACAGCTGACCTGGCCAAGTAGTTTCAATTCAGAGTTAATCCATCAACCAGGTTTGTTGCTGGCATAGATTTTTCATTATCTTCCTGATCCAATTGAAGTAATTCATTTTCTATTGTTTTTGTACATGTTTTTCTTGATGGTTTTGTTTAATGTAAACTTGAACATGATAGACTTGTAACTTTGCTGCAAAACACAGTAATTGCTGGTTATGAAAACAACCAAAGAACTGTGGATGCTGGAAATCAAAAACAACAAATTGCTGGAATAACTCAGCAGGTCTGGCAGCACCTGTGGAGTGAAAGCAGAGTTAACATTTTGGGTCCAGAGACCCTCTGAACACTTCTGATGGACAGTCACTGGACCCGAAACAATTAATTCTGCTCTCTCTCCTCAGATGCTGCCAGACCTGCTGAGTTATTCCAGCAATTTGTTTTTTTTTTTGTCCCTGTTTATGAAATATTAGCCCATCCAACTCCAAATATTAGTGAACAGAAAGTAATGTAATTTAACTTCAAGCTATATTGTAAAATGCATCATTACCCTGCCAAAAAAATCATGCAATTAATTATGTTTTTGGCACATGAACAATCGGAACAGAAAAAATGAGGACTACACCATTTGGCCCCTCAAGTCACTATGTCATTCAACTTGGCACCTCCAACTTGGTACCCTGTTCTTGCTTTCTCCCCAAACCATTTGATACTTTTTTTAGTGCTAAAAACAGTACTTAAGTCTTTCTTGAAAGCACTGTGTTTTGGCTTCAACCAATTTCTGTGGCAGAGGCTCACCATTCTCTGGGTGAAGAAATTTCTCCTAATCTCAGTGCTAAACGGCCCACCCTGTATTCCTTAACTGTAACCCCTTGTTCTGGACTCCTTGGTCATCAGGAACGTCCATCCGGCATTTACCCTGTTTAGTTGTGTTGAAGGTCTGAGTTGTCCTCCCCACCCATTCTTCCAAACCCAAGGTAGTCTGAACCGATTCAGTCTCTTTTCATACATCAGCCCTACAATCCCGTGAATCAGTCTGATACACCTTTGTTGTACTCTCGACAGTCAGAATATCCTTCCTTGGATATGGAGACCACTATGAAAAATTGCACACAATACTCCAGGTGTGGTTTCACCAAGTCTCTGTACAATTTCAACAAGACATCCCTGCTTTTGTATTCTATTCCTTTTGTCATGGATGCCAACATACTATTTGCCTCCTTTGCTGCCTGCTGCACCTGCATGCAATTGTTATGGAGCTCTGCATATGCTTTGGCTTCTTAATGCCAAATTTTTTTGTAGCATTAGAACTAATTGTATCTGTCAATTAAAAGTTTAGCTTTGTGTTACTATAATGTTTCTTAATCCTGTAGTGCAATGATTTATACTGTCTATCCTCAACACTTCACTGTTAAAACCAGACCTAGACTTTGGTCTAAATGTAGTATCTAAACACAACTTGTTTGCATTTATACTTGTTTCGTTTCTTGCCGGTTTGTCCAGCTATGAGTTTTGTGGGGTTGCTAGTTTGGAATAGACTTTTCTATTTCCTGCCTTTTTATTTGTGTACAAGTCTTGAAGCAGGATATGAATAACCTGGTGGACAACTGCGGTTTGATCTATGTGCAAAATAATTGGCACATCAAATTAAACTCTGAAGTTTCAATGTATATGTTAAGCTTATTAATTCACAGCACAACAAGCCTGTTTCCCATCACATCTTTTCAGCCACAAAAGACATCCAGATTAACCCCCTTTCCAGCTCTGGGTGGGTTTGGAACTGGGGATAGTGTACTGAGATGGATGGTAAATAGTTAACAGACAGGAAACAAAGAACAGGAATAAATGGGTCTTTTTCTGAATGATGTGTAGTGACAAGTTGGTACTGCAAGATACTAAACTCCACTCTGTGCTAAGACCCCAGCTATTCACAATCTATGTCAATGATTTTAGATGAGAGGACTAATTGTAATATCATTAAACTTGCAGATGACGCAAAGCTGGGTGGAAAAAGTGGACTGTGAGGAGGATGCAGAGGTGTTGCAATGTGAGTTGGGCAGGCTGAGAATGTGGGTAAACTGTATGGCAGTTGCAGTATAACGTGAATAAATCAGGAAAGCAGATTATTATTTGAATGGCTGTAAATTTGAGCAAGGGGAATGTTCAATGAGACCTGGTGTTCTCGTGCACTAGCTATTGAAAGTAAGCGTGCTGGTGCAACAGACAGTAAAGAATGCAAACTGTATGTTGGTTTTCATTGAGTGAGTTAGTACAAGAACAAGGATATTTTTGTGCAATTATACAAGGCATTGTTGAGGCCACACCTAGAATTTGTAGCTCAGGTTGTAGGTGTTGTGGTTGGTTGGCTCACTGAGCTGGTTTGTTGTTCCGCAGACGTTTCATTACCGTGCCGGGTAACATCAGTGCAGCCTCTGATGAAGCACTGTTGTGTTTTCCCACCTGGTTTTTAAACTTGAGTCTATTGAGCTGGATTACCTCACTTCTGGTTTTCCTTCGTAGTGGAGTGTATTTGGGGTTGAGGCCTGTGTTTGTTAATGGCTTTCTTCATGGAGTACCAGGCTTCTAGGAATTCCCGTGCCTGTCTCTGCTTTGCTTGTCCCAGTCGAATTGGTGGTTCTCTCTATCCATGTGGATAGAGATGAGTGAGTATTGGTCGTGTCTTTGTAGCCAATTGGTGTTGGTGTACCCTTGTTCACTTCCTGTTTGTCAGTCTCTGCAGAGAATCTTGTAGATGACTTGGTCCTGTCCAAAGTGGGAAGTGGGTCTTTGGTTCAGGTGAGCAGTTGTCATAGGGTTGATGTGGGTTTGTGTGCCACTCTGATGCCCAGCAGTCGTAGGCCTCCTCTCTCTAGAGAGGAGGAGAAGAACAAACAGCTCCCATTCCTGGATGTCATGGTAGAGTGCAAGACAAATGGGGGAACTCCAAACGAAAGTACACAGAAAGACCATGCACCCGGACCAAATACTGAATTTCAACAGTAACCATCCTAACACACACAAACGAAGCTGCGTGCGAACACTATTTAAACGGGTAACAACAACACTGCAGCAACACTGAACTACACCGAGAAGAAGAAGAATACCTCTTCCAGGTTTTCAAAGATAATAGATATCCAAAAAACTGTGTCAGAAGATGCCCACACACCCCGACACCCTCATCATGCTACCTTACATCAGGAACACATTGGAACTAACCACAAGACTCCTACGACTGCTGGGCATCAGAGTGGCGCACAAACCCACAACCCTATGACAACTGCTTACATGAACCAAAGACCCACTTCCCACTATGGACAGGACTAATGTCATCTATAAGATTCCCTGCAGAGACTGTGACAAACAGGAAGGAAATTAACAACAAGAGTACACAAACCCCAATTGGCTATGAAAAGACACGACCAATACTCTCTCCTCTCTATCCACATGGATAAGGAGAACACTAATTCGACTGGGACAAGCAAAGCAGAGACAGGCATGGGAATTCCTAGAAGCTTGGTACTCCACAAAGAAAGCCAGAAACAAACACGTAGAACTCAACCCCAAATACACTCCACTATGAAGGAAAACCAGAAGTGAGATAATCCAGCTCAATGGACTCAAGTTTAAAAACCAGGTGGGAAAACACAACAGTACTTCATCAGCGGCTGCACTGATGTTACCCGGCAGGGTAAAGAAACGTCTGCGGAACAACAAACCAGCTTAGTGAGCCAACCAACCACAACACACCTAGAATATTGTTTGCAGTTTTGGTCTCCTTTTTATCTGAGGAATGATGCTGTTGCTATTAGAGGGAAGGCAGTAAAGGTTTATCAAATTGATTTGTGGAGGGGCAGGACTGATGAATGAGGAGCAGTTGAGTTGCTTAAGATTAGTTGGAATTTAGAAGAGTAAGGGTGGATCTCATAGAATTTTATAGACTTTTAACATAACTAAACAGGCTAGATGCAGAAATGGTGTTCCTGATGGTGGAGGAAGTACAGAACCAGGGATCATAGCTTAAAGATAAGGGGGTAAACCTTCTAGGACTGAGATAAGTAGAAATTTCTTCACCCAGTGAGCCTGTGGAATTCACTGCCATGAAGTGGTTAAGACAAAAACATTGTTTTCAAAAGGATGTAAATATAGGTCTCCTAGCTAAAGGGATCAAGAGTTATGGAAGGAGGGTGGGATTATTTGGGATGTCATATTACAGCTGTACAGGACATTTGGCAAGGCCACATTTTGAAGTACTATGTATAATTCTGGTTGGTCTGCAAGAGGAAGGATTTCATTAAACTGGAAAGGGTGCAAAAAAAATTTACAAGGATGTTACCAGAAGGTTTGAGTTCTAGGATAGGCTGGGACTTTGTTCTCTGGAGCACAGGAGACTGAGGTAGTGACCATTTTATTGAGCCTTATAAAATCAAGAGGGGCATACATAAAGTGAATAACCAAAGCCTCTTCCCCCAAGGTGGGGAGTTCAAAACCAAAGGGCACTGGTTTTTAAGGTGAGAGCGAAAAAGACTTGAAGGGCAACTTCTTCACACACAGGGTGGTACGTATATGGAATGAGCTGCCAGAGGAAGTGGTAGATGCAGGTACAGTTACAACACTTAAGACATTTGGATAGTTACGTGGATAGGAAAGATTTAGAGGGATATGGGTCAAACACAGGCCAGTGGGGCTTGTTCAGAAAACTAGTCAACACAGACAAGTTGAAGCAAATGACCTGTTTTCATGCTGTATGACTGTGATTCTTAGGATACAGAGTTGGATGATAAACTGATTGTATTGAATAGTGGAGCAGGTTCGAGGGGTTAAATAGTCTACTCCTGCTGTCAACTTCTATGTTTCTATGGTGGGTAGCCCTGTAGGTTGTGACATTTCAAGTACAAGCATGGATGTTCATAATCATGATCATCTATCATCCTTCCATGATGTGAAGAGACCAAATATTGTAAAATGTTCTGAGGAAGGGTCAGCGGACCCAAAATTTTAACTGATATTCTCTTCAGACACTGCCAGACCTACTGAGCTTTACCAGCAACTTCTGTATTTGTTCCATTGTAAACATTAGCTTGCTTTTGTGCTTTAGTAGTTAATGAGAATTAATTTTAGCTTGGAAAACCCAGAGATTGGAATTTTTTTTTTTTCTCTCTTTGGGGAGGCAATTTGAAGGAGACCTGACTGAAGGCCTAATTTCTCAAAGCAATTAGGGGAGAAGTTACTTTTTTTTTTTTTTTTTAGAAAAAAAGTAGATTATGAAATTTCCAGACCAGGGGTGTTTGGTTAGAAATCTGCACTGGTTATCTTAAATCTAAGATCTCTGGTTGTTAAGAGAAAAAAGACCTCTCTGCTCACACAAGACCAGAACTGAGGAAAAGCAGTTATGTCAAACGTGGACTTGATAGGAATATATGGATTTTGACTAAATGTAAAGTAATAATTTTGAGGGAGCATATGGAATTTTATTTTATGTATTTTTAAAATCTTCCAAAGTGTGGCAAGTGTGTTTAGGGTGTACTGTGTCGTCCTGTTATCTGTCATGTAGGCATCTGTGGATGTCTTTAGTCACATCAATTGATATCCCACTAGCCAAAGAAACAGTGGCAACATTAGAGGAAACAGCAACTCAGACCAGTAACTCCATCAGCAAGAACAAGATACTTAAATTACTAGACCTCTGCCTCACAGCACACTTCGTCCTTAATGGTCAAATGTACAGACAGATCAATGATACACCAATGGGGTCACCCATCTCAGGACTCCTTGCAGAAGCAGTCTTCAAAGACTAGGACCCCCCACCCTCGCACAGATGCACGCACCCCCCACGCCCAGTACGTAGACGACACATTTGTCATTATTAAATGTGAAACATATTCACGAGGAAATAGGAAACCAACAATCCAACTGTCGTTTCTAGTTTTAAGTTAGAATGACTGACAAATGACTCCAAACTTCAGTATACAGAAAAGCAACCCACACAGATCAAATCCTCAACTTCCACAGCAACCACCCCAACATCCACAAACAAAGCTGCATTAGGACACTTCATACAAGATCCTCACCTTAAACCGACATCCCTGCAACTTCATCCACAGATACCTACATAACTGACAACAACAGGAGGACACAGTATGACCTAACACACTTGCCACACTTCCTTACATCAGGAACATGTTAGAACTGACAACAAGACTCCTAAGACCACTGGGAATCATGGTGGCCCACAAGCCCACAGCCACTACGACAAACACTCTCCAGGAGTAAAGACCCCATTCCACAACATGCAGAATGAACATGGTTTACAAAATACCGTGCAACGTCTGCCACAAACGTTACATCAGACAGGAAGGAAACTAGCCATCAGAATACACTAACATTAGCCAGCAGCAAAACGGCACGATGAACTCTCCTTAATATCTGTCTCCACCGGTAATACGAACATAGAATTGGACCCCATATATAAACTCAAACTCGTACAGATCAAAACCGGAAATGACAGTACTCATAACAGACTGGACAGTATAAATTCCAAGCAGAGTAGAATAATATCGCTTCATCGGAGGCTGCACTGATGATGTCACCCAGCATAGTGAGGAAACGTCTGATCAAAAACAAGCAAGTCAACAAGCTCCTCCACCACTCGAGCTACAGATATTTTGCCAGTACTTTTAAATTTACTACTCAGCATTAAAAATGGACTATAAAATTAATCTTGCACCATTTTCCAGTAACTTTTAAAAGGCATCAGCACTTTAAACTATGTTTGTAAAATAGGAAGAGTGTAGTTTGTGCTGCCAATGATACAAAGCAGATGAATATGCTTTCAGTATACATACTTGACAGTACATCACATTGTTTCCTCCTACAGATTTACTAACTGAGCATATATTCAATGTTTCCTGCAAAAGTTTACCTACAGTGCAATCCATGTCAACTTTTAGTTATTGTACCATGCATTGAAAGATTAGCTTTTTCACTTAATTGTCTGTTGCATGGGCCTTCTACATTTAGCATGTATGCAAGCAAGACGCTCAATTTTTAACTGTTGTAGGATGTTTATCGTGCAGAATACTCCAGTTAAACGCTGCACATGATGTAAATATCCAGTGTATTGATGTGAACGTATGGTATTTGATACACCTTTTAAGAGGTGGTTCAGAAAAAAGGCTTTGGTGAGCTAAATTAAAAGAAAATCACAATTTGACAAATCTTGAATAATTTATTCACTTAGAAATGTCATTGAATAGCAGAATAACTTTTTTTTTAAACTGAGCTATTCTCATACATTTTAAGTGTTGCAAAAATGGTGGAAATGCACCACAGTACTTGCAATATATGTGAAGAGAAGACAAATTGTTTGAGGCATAGCATTTAGAAAAGCATGAAACATTAAGGTGGCTGCCATACTAAGTGTTTTTATTTAAATTAAATTTGCAGCAATAGTTGGAGGGAATTCTATTTACTCACTTTGTGTGCAAGTGGATGAGATTAAAATGATTGCTCAAAATCCTATTACGAAACAATGACAAAATCATAACCACAATATACTTTATAGGTATTGGTCTGTTTGGCTGTTTACACAGACCAGAAAGGATGATTGTTGTTGGGATTAAACTTCATTTTCTTTTTTTTTTAAGTGGAGCTTGGTTTGTAAGAACTACTGGAAGGTTCCACTGGAGCAAGTGAGCTACAAGATTAGTTGGATTGTTGGATATTTAACCCTAGGATCTGTTGCTGACCAGTAAGTTGGCTTTTTTTTTTCCTTCTGTGATTTCATGCTATTGGCCTCTTATGCTTCGTGATACATCTTGTTTCATAATCCTAATAAGAGTTTATAATATTCGAGAATGTGCTTTTTGTGTTGCAATATTTATAATGTTTACAAAATTAGATACGCAAGTTGTTTTCCTAATGTTCTTACATCAGTGAAGGTTAACATTAGACACTCCTATTTTGAGAATCATGATTATAGGAGCAACACAATCTTACCCGGTACACAGTTGATTGCAACTTGTTTCAGTATTACAAAAGGCATACAGTTCATAACAATTTTTTAACCATTATTCTCACCTGCATAGTGTTAGTAGTTCTATGTTTGAAAACAGATTTGATGCACCACTTCAATCTGCCAGTGAACAATTATTTGAAAATCCTTTTTGTGAAGTAGAGTAGATTTGCATGATGGGCAATTCTAGGCTGACTTTTTTTTAAGGTAACTTTCAGGTCATTTTAAAATCATTTTACAGCTATTTGCCCCACTGTTTGATGCCGAGCCAGCATGGATTCAATCTAGTCAGTCCTACAGATTTTATCTTGTTCAGGTACCCATCCAGTTTCCTTTCTCAATATCGTTATTTCCACTTGCACCACCATCATGGACAGCATGTTCCAGGTCCTTCCACTCCTTGCATAAAATGTTCTTTCTGACTGAGTCCTCTCTTGTTCAAAATCTTAAATCTATGTCCCTTTGGTCCTTGCACCGTGAACAAATGTAAAGTATTTTTCTTTGTCTATCTTTATGTAAACCTGTCATAATCTTGTCTACTTCTATCAAATATCCCCTCAATCTCCTTTTTGCTCCAAGGGCAACAGCATTTGTTTCATTCTAATTTTATACCTATAGCATTTCTTCCCAACACCGTTCCAAACCTCGGCAAAATCTCTAACAATTGTGATAGATCCTCATTGCATTCTGTCTCAAGGATCTTTTTAGATCTTTCCTAAAATGTGAGTAGAATTATCCACAGTACTCGAGGGGTGTAACTAGAATTTTATACAGGTTTAGCATAATCTGCCTGCTTTTGCGTTTGATACCTCCATTTTAGGAAGTCTGAAATTCCATATGTATGGCTGACCATTCTCTCCAATATATGTTGTGCCACCTTCAAGGATCTGTGCTACATATCCCCCGCTCCTGATCCTCCATTCCTGTTCACTGTTTAGAACTATTAAAACTATCTTGCCTCTCCCTATCCCTCTGCTGAGCATATCTCCCACTTAACGTTCTACTAGCATATCTATCTAACTGTCTCCTGTTGTAGGCAACTTGTATCATCCTTTGGTCTTGCCACACCTCCAAGTTTGGTATGGTTGTCCAAATTTTGGAATTGCACTATGTCTTCCAAGCCCGAAGTCAGGTGCGTGTGATGTGTGTATACATATTGCAAACATGAGGACCTAGCGTTGACCCTTGTGGCACAACCTGTTTTTCAAAAAAAAAAACAGCCATTACCACAATTCACTGCTTTCTGGTCTTAAATCAATCATATGGACTAGGGAAAGCCAATGTGGCAATAAGCCACAGTTTGGTTAAGCAACTTATGCATTTCCATGTCAAATGCTTTCTTAAATTCCTACTAGAAACATCCATCACATTCCCTTCATCAAACTTCTGTTACTCCATCAAAATACTCAATTATCTCAGCATGATCTGAACTTCTAATCTGTAAGGATAGTACACAGACCAGGAAAGAAGGGCCACAGGTAACTGGATTTGATTTAACCTAATAAAGTACTCTCCAAGGTTTAATTTAAAGAGGTAAACCATGTCAGGAGAGCTCAAAGTCTTGGTTTGTTCCTCTTGCTCCATGTGGCAGACTGGGGACAGTTTCAGCATGTGTGCAGGAAGTGTCTCCAGCTACAGCTCCTAGAAGCCCGAGCTCCAGAGCCGGAGCGGTAGCTCGGGACAGTGGAAACATCCGCGAGGCAGAGAACATCGTGGATAGAGCGTATCGAGAGGTGGTCACACTGTAGGCTCACACTCTGCAGACAGGAAGGGAATGGGTGACCAGCAGAAAGAGCGATAGATAGGCAGGTGGTGCAGGAATCTCCTGTGGTATTCCCGTGCAAAACAGATAATGTTTTGGATACTGTTGAGGGAATGACCTCCTGGGGGCGGCGGCGGAGTGGAAGCAGCAGCAGCACCAAACTCTGTCTGCTGCAGAGCGGAGGGGTAAAATGTGTGCGAGGGCAATGGCTATAGGGGATTCAATTCTAAGGGGAATACACCGGCATTTCTGTGGCCACAAATGAGACTCCAGGGTAGTATGTTGCCTCCTGGTGCTAGGGTCAAGGATGTCTGAGAGGGTACAGAACCTTCTGAAGGGGAAGGGTGAGCAGCCAGTAGCCATGGTACACATCAGTACAAATGACCAGGCTTTTTTTTTTTTAAAAAAAAAAAAAAAAGGATGAGGTCCTAAAGGCAGAATACAGGGAGCTTGGAAGAATGTTAAGATGTTGGACCTCCAAAAGTAGTGATCTCCGGATTACTACCAGTGCCACGTGCTGGCCAGAAGAGAAATGACAAGATATAACGGATGAATATGTGGCTGCAAAGACGCCTTCAGGGGAAGGGTTTCAGATTCCTGGGGCATTGGGACCAGTTCCAGAGGAGGTGGGACCTGTATAAATTGGATGAGTTACACCTGGGCAGGATTGGGGCTGATGTCCCGGGGGAGTGTTTGCTAGAGTGGTTGGGGAAGAGTTTAAACTAAAATGCCAGGGGGGTGGGAACTTCTGTAAAGAGTCAGAGAAGAAGGCAGCAAGGACAAAAACAAAAGCTAGAAAAGGGAATAAGAAAAATGATAGGCTGAGAAACTAAGGACCGGAATCAAACAGCATTATTGAGGAAAAATAGGGAGACCAACACTGTTAAAAGGACCAGCTTAGTTTTATGTCTTAATGCATGGAGCATCTGCAATAAAGCGGATGAACTAATCACACAGATACATGTAAATGGGTACGATACAATTGGGATTATGGAGACATGGCTGCAGGGTGACCAGAGATGGGAACTGGATGTCCCAGGGTATTCAGTATTTAGGTAGGACAGGCAAAAAGGAAAAGGTGGCAGAGTAGCATTGCTGGTTAGAGGAAGTTAACACAATGTCAGAGCTAATACACTTTTTCTCACTAATGTGGAGTCTGTATGGGTAGAGTTGGGAAACACCAAGGGGCAAAAAAGCATTAAGTGTCATATATAGACACCGAAACTGCAGTGGTGCTGTCGAGAATGGCATTAAACTGGAAATTAGAGGTGTATGTGATGAGGGAATGTCGGTTATCATGGGTGATTTTAATCTGCACGTAGATTGGGCAAATCAAATTAGCCACAATGCCATAAAGGAGGAATTCCGGGAGTGTATACAGGATGGTTTTATTGACTAATATGTGGAAGAACCAACTAAAGAGCAGGCCATCTTAGACTGGGTGCTGTGAAATGAGAAGGCAATTATTGCCAATCTAGCTTTTGAGACCCCTTGGGGAAGAGCGACCATAACATGATAAAAAGTTTTTATCAAGATGGAGAGTGAGGTTGTTGATTTGAAGACTAGGATGCTGAACCCTACTGAAAGAAACTGAGGATATGAGGCATGAGTTGACTTTGATAGATTGGGGACAGTTACTTAAAGGGATGATAGTGGATAGGCAATGGCAAACATTCAAAGGACATATGGGGGGGAACTGCAACAACTGTTTATTCTTGTCTGTCACAAATACAAAATGGGTCAGAGGGCCAATCCATGGCTTATTAAGGAAATAAGAGATTGGATACTGATTGGCCAAGGAAAATAATAAATCTGAGTGTTAGGACCAGTTTAGAATTCAGCAAAGAAGGAACAAGGGATTGATTTACGAAAGGGAAAATAGAATATAAAAGTAAGCTTGCAGGAAGCAAAGACTGTGGCTAAGAGTTTCTATAGGTATGTGAAGAGAAAGATTGGTAAAGACAAATGTAGGTCCCCTACAGACAAACTGGGGAATAGGGGACAAAGAAATGGCTGAGGAGCTGAGTACATACTTCATCTCTGTCCTCCCAAAAGAGGACACCGATGAGATACAAGAATTGTTGAACGATGCAAGATTTAGTGGGGAAAATTCTCGAATCCATTATCAATGATTTTATAGCCGAGCATTTAGAAAGCAGTGGCAGGATCAGACACAGTCAGCATGCATTTTTGAAGGTGAAATCATGCTTGACGAACCTGTTGGAATTCTATGAAGATGCAACTAGTAGAGTTGACAAGGGGGAGCCAGTCGATGTAGTATAGTTGGACTTGCAGAAAGCATTTGACAAAGTCCCACATAAGAGATTAATGTGCAAGATTTAAGTGTATGGGATAGGGGAAAGTGTATTGAGATGGATAGGAAACTGGTTGGCAGAGAAGAAACAGTAGGAATTAACAGGTCCTTTTCAAATTGGCAGACAGTAACTAGTGGAGTGCTACAGTGTTTGCTGCTAGGACCCTAGCTATTCGCAATATATAGTAATGATTTGGATGCGGGAACAAAATGTAACATCTCCAAGTTTGCAGATGATGCAAGTTGGGTGGGAGGGTGAGCTGTGACGAGGATGCAGACATCCTTCAGCATGATCTCGACTGGTTGGGTGAGTGGGCAAATCAATGGCAGATGCAGTACAATTTGGATAAATGTGAGGTTATTCACTTTGGAAGCAAAAACAAGAAGGCAGATTACTGCCTGAACGGCTGTAAATTGAGAGAGGGCAGTATGCAGCAGGACCTGGGCATCCTTGTGCACCAGTTGCTGAAGGTAAGCATGCAGGTACAGCAGGCGGTAAAGAAGGCAAATGGTATGTTGGCCTTCATTGCGAGAGATTGAGTACAGGAGCAGGGATGTGTTGTTGCAGTTATACAGGGCCTTGGTGAGTCCATACCTAGAATATTGCGTGCAGTTTTGGCCTCCTTTCCTGAGGAAGGATGCTGTTGCTCTCGGGAGTGCAGCGAAGGCATACTAGGCTGATTCTGGGGATGGCTAGTCTGACGTGTGAGGAGAGATTGACTAGGTTCTAGGTTGGGATTGTTTTTGCTAGAGTTCAGACGAATGGGGTGGGGGGCTGGGGCTGGTGGTATCCCATAGATTTTTGTGTGTCTAACAGGACTGGACCCAGTAGATGCAGGGTGAGAGTTCCTGATGGTGGGTGTGCCCAGAAGCAGGGGTCACCATATGAGGATTCTTAGTAGACTATTTAGGTTGGAGATGAGGAGACATCTCTTCCCCAATATATGAATGTATTCAAGAGGCTGCTAGATATGGCACCTGGGGTGAATGGGATCAAAGGTTATGGGGAGAAAGCAGAATTCTGCTATCAAATTGGATGATCAGCCATGATCGTTAAGAATGGCAGATCAAGCTTGAAGGGCCGAATGGCTGCCTCCTGCTCCTATCTTCTATGTTTCTATTACCTATACAATTCTATGCTAACTCTCCTTAATAGATTTGAAATTCTCCAGGTATCTTTCTTTTTTTCTCTCAAGGATGCTAAAACTGTACCTGTCACTCATAATGTACTACCTGGCCTATAGTTATTAGGTAGTACTTGTCTTGCAGCCTTGAATAATGGTGTCAAATCTGCCAATGTCAGTCCTCTGGCACCTGCTCCTTATCTAGGGAAGCTTGAAAAATAAAAGCATGCCTTTTTGCCATCTCCAACCCCACATCCATTAGCAACCTGGGATGCAAGCCATCTGATGAGATGATTTATCATAATCCGAGCATAGCCAGCCTTTCAATTACTACCACCACCACCTTCCAATCAATTTTCACGCTATTCAGTACTTCCACTATCTCGGTCTCCATCTCTACAACTACATTGTTAGATTCCCCTTCCTAGTAAGCACTGATGTAAAGAACTTCTCCATTTTTTAACCACAAATATACTTTGAGCTAGAGATTTACACATTATTGAAACAAAAGAAGGAAAATGGGTTGTCGGAATAGCTCAGACCATTATCCTAAACAGAAGAATTGAAGTGAACTTGTTGCCAATTTTCAAATTGGATTTTAATTATATTTGTAAGTTTGAGGAAGTCTTTATGTAATGAGGCCAAACTATTGAATGTTGGCTTTTTTATATTTGTAGACTGGGCCGCCGAAATACATTCATTCTCTCGCTAATTCTATCAATTATTCAGCATATTGGAGTTTCCATCTCTGTGGATTTCCTCATGTTTGTTCTCTTCCATATGTTCAGTGGGTTAGCATCAGCTGGAGTCGTCTTGTCCGTATACATTGCAAGTAAGTATGTAGCAACTTAGGTTTTGACCAGATGACAAACTGTAGTGTTTTCAAACATGTGCCTATATCTATAAAATGTACAGGTACTAGTCCTTTCTAGTTCTGTGACTTTTTGTTTTTTGCAAGTGTGAGATTTATAGCAAAAGCTGTATAGTCATTACATGTAGTAATTGTCATGAGGTTGGCCGGGTGGATCTCATTTGAGTATGAGTTCCCTGATTGGTCCAGGTTAACAACCCCAATCAGGGAGTCTTGGTTGACAGAAATAAATAAGAATATCAGGGATTCTTCTCATTCTAGGGACTGGCTCTGAGCTAGCTGGTCAGAGTCCATGTACTGTGGACCTGTAAGTTTAAAAAGTGACTTGGTGACAGGATACCGGCCTCCATGGAGTTATTTTAGTGGCCATGAGAGAAAACAGTACACTCCTGAGATAAGTGTGGAGCTGGAGCATCAGAGGAGCAGGAAGCTGACGTTTTGGGTTCAGAAGGGTCTGGACCCAAAATGTCAGCTTTCCTGCTCTGCTGCCTGGCCTGCTGTGTTCCTCCAGCCCCACACTGTTATTTCTGACTCCAGCATCGGCAGTTCTTACTATAAGTGAGTTGTGACACTCCTGAGGTAAGTGAGTTGGGGTAAGCATTCCTGTATTTGTGCCTTTATTTGGGAGGCTTGACTTGTTTGATCCTGCCATTGAAGCCTGAGCCCAGGATGTGGAAAGAATGCGTTATTTTTTTTTTTAATATTCTGGGCAAATGACATTGGGGCAGATGAAAAGCAATGAGTAATTCTTAGATATGGGAACTGCAGATGCTGGAGAATCTGAGATAACAAGGTGTAGAGCTGGATGAACACAGGGTAATTCTCCTGACTGCTTGTGGACCCACAGCATTTTAGGTTATTCGAAGCCTAACTTTCCCTGAAGCATCTGATACTAAAACCTTTTCAAGAGTTGACTGGTTTTGTTAAGGAATGTTATGACCCCAAGCTACCTCTAAATCTGAGATGCTATCGGTTTTATTCGCCAGTTTGAGAACCAGGGAAATCTGTATCAGCATTTTTGATGAGGTTAAGCCAACTGGCAGAGGAATATGACTTTGGGTAAACCGTAAATGAGATGCTGAGACACTATTTAGAATGTGGGATTAGTGATGTAACCATGCAAAAGCACCTAGCTGAAGCCCACCTGGACTTGAAATGGGCACTACAACTGATTTTTGGCATTAGAAAATGCAACAAGTGGACCATGTGAGCTACAGGTTATCCCAATGGAAGTGGACACCTCTACCTGTCTGACTGAGTTTGGGAAACACCACTTCAATGCAGGCAATTGCATAGCCTCAAGCAGGATGTATCCTGAGCAGAGGGACCCTCTGTCAGCTCACAGCAGAACCCCAAAACAAAGCTTAGCCTTTGCCAAATGGCTAAAATGTTCTTCAGGATCTAGGCCAGCAAGCTGTTGTAGTTGCTGCCAGTATGTGGACCTGAGACAGCAAAGGGGTCCTATGACATCTGACTCAAATAAGAGAATTCATAGGTCAGTAACCAGGAATGTGCACACCCTGGAAAGTCCTCCAGCATGTGGCTTGGAACAGTTTAAAATACTTAGTAAAATCCAAATTGGAACCAATCAAAATAAATGTCTGGTTAGATGGTCACCCAGTTCTAATGAAATCAATATCAGCTCAGCTGTATCAGTGATCGTGGAACCAGTCTTTAACAAGATTTGCCCTGGTCTCTAACCCTTAAGTTTGTGTAAGATCTTCGCCAGACTGAGGAAGATATGTCGGGGAACCGTTAAGGATACAACTTTGGTTCTGCTCTCCTGTGAGAAGCAGTTGGTGTAATTACCAATGATTTGTAGTAAAAGGCTTGCATGCAAGCTTGATCTGGCAGAATTGGTTGAGAAAGATTCACCTTGATTGGTTCAATGTTTTCTCAATTAGAAAATGACTCCTTTTGATAGTCCCTAGACTTTTCCCAGGAAGAACTTCCGGTATTCAATTAGGACATCACTCGGGCAGCCAAGGCCACCTTTTTATATGTTGATCAGGAAGTAATTCTGCAAGGTCCAGCCAATGCCATTTGCCCTGCATGCAGAAGTAGAGGCAGTAATCGGGAGACTTGAATGCAAAAGAATCAGCAAACCAGTCCAGTTTGCGGAATGGGCAGCACCAGTCGTACTGATTCTGAAGCCCAATGTGTCATTTCACCTTTGGGGATTTCAAGCAAACGGTAAACCTCTTCCCTTAGCTGAAACTGGACATGAGCCATGCATACCTGCAATTACAACTAGATGAGTAGTCCCCATTGTTCACTTTTCACTGTACTCCTGGTTTTTTTTTTTTTTTTTTTGTAACTGTGTGCACGACAATAAACCTGAAATCAAATTCTCTCCAGCTATTAATTTGTTTTGTGCTGCCTCCTTTGCCATTCTACTTTCTAATTTGTTGGTAGACACCCAGATATTCTCTATCTTGAGTGCTTCTGATTCTGGTGCCTCTTGCCTTTTTGCTCTTGTTAAACTATGTTGCCTACAGGTCTCATCTGGACTACTGTTATTCAACCCGGACTTTGTGGCCAGACTTCCTTTCACAGCTCTTTGTGTGGTTTGGTTTTCTTGACCTATGATCAGCTTTAGGCCTAGTGTCTGAATCTGCAATTCATTTTCTGGCATTCCCAAGTTTTTGCTTCCTTCTGCCAATTCCTAGATCTGATGTACAGTCCCTTGCCTTGCAAATTCAGCGTTTTTTTTTTTTTTTTTTTTTTTTTTTTGTTATTTGATCTTAAAGGCCCTTTTTTGTTTTTATTACAACTGCTTGGTCCACTTTGTTAGTCCATTATTTTTCACAATCTATTGTTTGTAATGATCCAACATAAGTATCATACACTTCCAATTTCCATCATCTGTTCAGGTTCCATCTATGTCTAATCATGCATGGCATTAAATATTCTACGAAAACTGAACTAACTATTATCCCCTAGCTTTTGAAAGGGATTATGTCTTGAATTTCTGCCATAAATTAGTTGCTAGCAGCTATAGCTATCAACCATCTGAAATGTTTATCTTCCCTGTACTACCTATGCAAAGCAGTCATCAATTTACAATTTGGTCAGTCAACTAAAACCTTTGGTGCACTTGGACGTTTACGGCATGATTCTCTTTCAAATCCCATTGCTGAGAGGATTTTCCACTGCTTTAATAATCAGATTCTCACTCAGACTCCCAGATTCTGCATGGCAAATTCTTCCTCATTATCTATTAAGATATTAGCCAGTGCTCTCAACCCTGTTCCTATTTATCTGTCCATAATTTTTGTACTGTAAACTGCCATTGACAGACTAAATCAAATCCTAATATCTGCAAAACCTAGGAAGGTATTATTTTCCATGCCTTGCAATCCATTGCTATGGTTTCATTAAAGTCTCACCAATAGAAGATGTACTATGAGTTGCATTGGCATTCTTCTGTAGTTTTTACAAGTGTGACGTTTCAGTAATATCCTCTGCATTTACTAATTCCTCATGTAACATTCCTGCACCCTTTTAACAAAGTCTTCAACTTATGACAAGATGGATGTACAAACTGCCAATGTTGCTTTGAAATTTATTTGAAGCCCAAACCCCAGATGCTATTAGTATTTCTTTAACATTCTGCACAGAGACAAGGGGCCTTGCTAAGGGAATACAATTTGCCAACTCTGTAAATTACAAATCTACAAGTCTCTCAAAAATGATTCTTTTATTGTGCTCCAATGAAAAAGCCACAAATATGAAGGTTTGCTGAACAGGAAAGGAATTTCATTGGTTACTGCATTCATATTTATGAAGTGGTTTTTTTAACCTTGGCTGTCTTGCATGGAATTACTGTTATCATCAAACCCGAAACTATTTGATCTTGCTCAGTCTTCCTCATTCAAAAGTTCACGTAACAACACTTTATGAACAGTCCATTCCATCTATCAATGATGTACACTCGCTATCTAGACCTCTAATTGAACAAACAATGAACTAGGATACTCATTACCACACCTAAGCTTCTGGCAATCGGCATGATATTGTCAGATTCATCCTTTCCTTTTGCATACCTTCAAGTCCTGTTTTATTCTTTTTAATACAATTCCACACATAATGATACTTTAAGTCCCGTGTATTAACCTTTGGTTATTCCTGAGATTCATCCTTCCATAATTGCCTGACTCTGCCACCTATTATGTCCATCAGAAGGATTTCTTAAACAAAATCCGGAATTGCTGGAAAAACTCCATGTCTGGAAGCATCTAGGAAGAGAAAGCAGAATTAACACTTCCGGTCCAGTGACTGTTCTTAAGAAAATGACTTTCTTATTGTAGTTCGTTCTTGCGGTCAATTGGGCTCCATATTCACATAGCCTCCAAATGCTGCTCACATTGTAGCGCTATTTTTTTATGTCACAGCTAATTAGACAGGGAGCTGGAACTGACCGTTTTTCTAAATATATTTTTAAATCCTCAGGTATCTGACCTGGAAGCATGTCTCTCTTTTAACTCGACTTATAACCAAGACCCTATCCATGTTTAATATTCAAGCACAATCCAACAAGTTGAAGGCAAGTACTGCTGACTGAATTTCCAAATTTGATCTTTGCTAGGGCTGTTCTTTGCTTTCTTTGTTTTAACATTATCCTATTTTATCATAGGATGCCGACATTGTCAGCTGGACTAGCTTTAATTGCCCATCTTTAGTTTCCTTGTTGAGCAGCCTTTTTGAATTGTTGCTGTCCATTTGGTGTAGATACACTGACTAAGCCAGTGGGGAGGGAGTTCCATGATTTTGACCAATTGACGCTGAAGGAACAGTGATATTTCTAAGTCCAGATGGTGAGCTGCTTGCAGGTGATGGGTTTTTTTTCCCCCCATATCAGCTGCCCTTTGCCTTCTAGATGTGTGTTTGGAATGTGCTGTCTAAGGCACCTGATGAATTTCTAGTGCATCTTGTAGATTGATGCTCAGCAGCAGTGTGCGCAGTGATGGGAGGAAGTAAATGCTTGTGATGTGGTGCCAATCAAGCAGGTAGCTCTGTCCTGGATGGTGTTGACATACTTGAGTGTTGTTGGAGTTGCATTCGTTCAAGCAAGTGGGAAATATTCCACCACACTGGAGACTTGTAGTTCGTAGATGCTGGACAGGTAGATCAGTAGGTGAGTTACACACTGAACAGGATTCCTAGCTTACTGTTATTGCTGCAGTATTTATAAAGCTCCTCCTGTTCGGTTTCAGGTCAAAAGTAATCCTAACAATGTTGACAGTAGATGGTTCCGTGATTGTGATGCCATTGAATATCCAACGGGAGGTGGTTAGATTTTTCTCATTAGACTGTCAATTTCCAGCACTTGAGTGGCATGATTGTTACTTGCGACTTGGTCAGCCCAAGCCTGGATATTTGAGTCTTGATACTTTTGGAAATGGACTACTTCAGTATCTGAGGAGCCAAGAATGGTGCTAAATATTATGCAGGTCAGTGAATATCCGCTCTACTGATCTTACAAAGGGAAGATCATTGAACCTGCTTAAGATGGTTGGGTTTAGGACTCTCTGGAACACCTGCAGTGATGGCTTGGAGCTAAGATGACTGACTTCCAACAATCTTCCTTTTGTGAGATAAGATTCTAACCAGTAAAGAGATTTTCTTTCTGCCTCCCCACCCCCAACACCAACACTGCCACCTCTTTCACTTTCAGGCAGCCATCTTCTGCTACTAATTTTAGAGGACCTCCAACCCTATTTCTGAAGAATACACTAGTACTTTGGCGTCCACTAAATAATAATGCCTAGTGTTGGATGTTTTTTCTTATACACACACCGCAGTAAGTTAGTTTTATTTTTAAGCTAACTCTGCAAACATTTCATGGCCCACCTCCTGCGGTAGGTAGGACTTGACACTACTGCTGTGTATTACAAAACATTTATACACAACTTGTGATTTTAATCACACTGTTCAAACATGTAATAACAACACACTTCCAGAGCTGGTGTGACTTGATCCTAAGCTCAGAGGTAGGGACACCACCACATTGCCACAATAGCTTGACACACCTCTGCATTGACATGGAACTACAGGTGAGCGGATCTTTTGTTCATTAACCTGTTGAAGTATTATGAGTAAGTGGGACTTGAATCTCTGCCATCTGGGTCCAGAGGTGGAGACACTACCACTGCACCTTTGCACAATTGCATGCCACCTTCTTTCTGGGCCACTGTCTTACTAAGCCAGTTTCATTTTCCACCTGGATGAAAGCAGATAGCCCTCATTAATACCACCTGTACCTGATTAATCTGCCATTGAAATCCTCAATGTATTTTTCGCCCTACACAACATTATTTTAGTTTTCTCCTTGCCAGCTTGTCATTCTCCCTCTAAGCTTTGACATATCTCAAACGTAGTTCTTTTGTAACGTATTCTTTGCCTACCTTTCCTTGCTGCCCTGAATTTGTCTCTAGTCCACAAAATATGTAAACATGGAGAAAAGCTGTAACTTAAAATCCATCAATTATCTTGCTCATCATTATATCTCTGACCTTCTGTAGCCAAATACAAGATCATCAGGCATAAGTGTTTCCTCTGCCCTATTTTTGTCATTTTCTTTCCTTTTTCAATTGTAGAAAGAGCATTATAATGCAGAAAAAAAAGACTTTATTGCCTGTATTACTGAGAAATCAATTTTAGAATTGTTTTCCTCCTCCAGGGTTGGAGATATGTGACCCACCACATCGACTGATGATTACAGTGATTGCTGGATCTTTTACAGTGGCTGGGGAGATGTTGCTGCCAGGATTAGTTGAGTTATGCAGAGATTGGAGAATTTTGCAGGCTGTTGTCACTGGCCCCTTCACATTACTACTCATTTATTGGTGGTGAGTGTTTAACAGTAAGTCATTACCTAAATGAATTAGATAACTATCTATAATCCTGCCAAATGCAAAATCTTTTTCACTGCACCCTCAAATTGTCCAAAAAATGTATTTTTACATTGGCATTCTCGCATATTGTGTGCATGAATCGAATGGACAGCTTTTGTAAGTACAAAAACTACTTTTGTTTCTGAGGCTGAAAGTGACTTTTAAAAGCATTTTTTCATCGATTTAAGATAGATAAAACTTCCTAACTGCCAAATTTCTTTCTTGAATTTAAATGTTGTCACCTGCTAATACTCTTTAAATTTAACAGTCCTATGTTTTCTAAGCTTTCATGAAGTCATGCGTTCAACAACAGCTTTCCTTTTAATGTTGGAAAAAATCTAATGCTTCAGAGCCTAATCAATGGAACAAAGTATGAACATGATCAAAAAAGAGGGTTTAATGAATCTTAAAGGACATAACATTGGTGAAAGGTTTAAGAATAAATAGTAACAAGAAAAGACCATACAGCCTGTCAAACCTGCTTTGTCACTCAATATGATAACATGATCTTATGGAACAACAGCAACCCTGACTTGAGAACACCAAATTACGAGTTCACAAGGCTTGCATCCTCCATCCACGTGGTGAGACATGGTCATGATGCCTTTGAACGAAGTAAGGGCTCCTGCCTTCATTGTCTCAAACATATCCTTGGCATCTCTTGGCAGGTGAAGGTGCTAATTTCATTAGCATGCACTCTTTGCTCAATGCCACCTGCTGGGCTGGCTACATTCATCAGATGGATGATTGTCCTCTACCTCTTCTCGACAGTGAACTGACCAATGAATCTCAACCTCCTGACATCTGTACTTCCACACCTGCAAAAGGTATGAAAATGGCTAATAACTAAGACAGTCACTGACAGCCATGACTTGTGGCAGCTGGCTGGCTGTGTTTGCTTGTTTCTGATCGCCTCTTCCAAACTGAGAGCTTAATATCTGAGAAAAGAGGCAGGAGAAAATGGAGGCCAGTGAATCTACTCCTGTTTTCCCTGTAGCAGTGCCTTCCACATTTGCTTTGCCACAGTGAGGTTCCTGAGGTTAATGTGGGGTTCATGTCAGCCAATGCTTGAGTTCACCACCATGCTGTACGTCATCTTAAAATGGAAGGCTTGTCACCAAGTAATGCAATAAATTGTTGATTCCACAGACAAACATTTGCAGGATACTCGTCCAGAGAATTTGGCTAATTTTCATGGCTAGCATTTATTGCCCTTGAATATCTGGTGACCTGCTTCATTGAACTGCATCAGCTTGTGTGCTGTTGTCATAAACAACAGGGAGTTTGAGGATTTTGGCTTGTGACTGTAGGAACAACATTTTACAGTTCCAAGTCAGAATGGTGTGTGACTTGTAGGGGAGACTATTGTGTTCCTAGGCACCTGGTGTCTTTAATCTACTAGTTGGGACAGGTCATTTTGTTTAGAAGATACCAATAAATAAACCTTGGAGAATTTTTGCAATATTTCTGCAGCTATGATTTGCTATTGGTGGATGTGCTGCTGAACAAGGGACTGTTTTATCTTGATAATATCAGGTCTTTTATACTGTTGGAACTGTGCTCATTCCAGGAAATGGAGAATATTTTACTTGTACTTTGGAGAAGCTTTGGAAAGTTGGGGTAAAGTGGGATTTTTTAAAAATAATTATAGAACTCCCAGCTTCTGATCTGCTCTTGCATCTCTGAAACTTTGTCACTGGTAGTGATATCCTCTGGAATGTTGATAGAAGAATTCCGTGATTGTCCTACTGTTGAATGTGATGAGAAAATGCTTGGCAATGCTTATTGCCTTGCACATGTATAAGATCAGTCTAAACATGAATCCTGTCCAAGTTTTGTGTGCAGATGCAATTTGCCTCATCTGAGGAGTTGGGAATGGAAATAAACACTTAGTGAACAAGAAGGTGATTTGATGAACCAGTAAAGGCCATTGAGTCTAGGACTTGTAATGATGTCCTGGCACCATGATCATTGGCTTCTAGTAGTCAAAATCATTATTTGTTATCAATGACTCTCATGACCGGTACCAGTTGTCGACTATGCACCCCTTTCACCGGTTTCTACTTAACTCCATTTTACTCTGGCTGTTTGTCATGTGATCAAATATTGTCTTGATGTCAAAGATAAAATCGCTTTTAAAGTCTCTTGAATTTCAGCTTGTCTGTATATGTTTGGCCCAAGGCTGTGAACAGTTCAAAAGCGAAGTAATCATCTCAGTCCAATATGATGGATGCAGCTTGATGACACTGCCTTCCTCCACTTCACGGATTACATGTAGACTAGGGTGGTAAGTGGTCAATTGTATTTTTTTTTCTGGACAGGGCATATGTTAAGCAATTTTATACTTGGCTGGATTGATACCAGTACTAAAGTTGTACTGGAACACATTGGTTAGAGGTGCAGCTAATTTTCAAGAATATGTCTTTAACACCAAGCATGGATTATTGTTGGAATTATAGCCTTTGAATCCAATATGCTGTGATGTTTCTTGAAATTACATGGAGAGAGACAAATTAACAACATTGGTATCTATGATGGAGATCCTAGGAGAAAATGGAGATAATCATAGGTGTGTTGTCTTTTGTACTGTGGTTGTGCTCTGCTATCGGAGGTTGGGAATGTTTGGTGCGTCTCTTCCTCGAATTGAGTTGTGACTCTGGTGATAATCAAACGACTAATATGACAGTCCTCATGGCTTTTATCCGATCCACTGCTTGTGTGATCACAAAGACCAGGTTACATGTTTCTGGTGTTCTAATAAATGTTTGAACCTGTTTTGCAGCTTCATCAGGTTAACTCTCTCGCTTTTTCAAGTCTCTATAGTGCTACTGCTGGCATGCTATCGTATGTGCTTTGATATTAGAGACTGGCCCTGGCTTGATGGAGTAGTAGAGGGAGAAATGAGCCAGGGCATGAGTTTTCAGATTCTGAAGGAAGATGAATTTCATGTCTGAATGCATATTATGGATGCCTGCTGGAGTAAACAATTTCCTATCTTTATACACAGGTGTCTAGAGATTAAAAGGTAACTTGCTAATGCTTTTTGACTTAGTATGTTAAACAACAGTTTTAAAAGGAAATATGATGCTATGGGTGATGATTTTGTAGTAGTCACTGAAAGAATATGCACTGTAGAGGAAGAGAAATGTGTAATCATACTGTACTTGGATTCCTGGAAGGCATTTGATGACAAGGTACCATATAATAGGTTATTGGGCAGTATAGGAAGTAGTATAGTAGCATGGCTAACACTGGCATTGCTGGCCAGGTCAGAATTTGTTGCCCATCTCTGATTTCCCTCAAAAGCAGTGGTGAGCTGCCATCTTCAACTGTCATAATCCTTGGTGGACAGACACCCAGCATGCTGTTAGGAATGGAGTTGCAGGATTTTGACCCATCGATTGTGAAGAGGTGTCGTGAATAGTGCTATATATTGTGCAATTATCAGTGAACATCTCTCCCTTCTTAACAGTGTTGTGGAGGGAAGGTAATTGCTGAAGCAGCTGAAGATGGTTGGGTCTAGGGCACTTCCTTTGAAGAACTACTGCAGTGATATCCTGGGGGCTGAGATGATTAATCTTCAACTACAGTCATCTCACTATGTTAGATATGGCTCCAACTAGTGGAGAGTTTTCCTCCTGATGCCCACATTGACTTCAGTTTTACTAAACTCCTTCATATCAAACTCTGCCAACTGCTGCCTTTGATGTCAAGAGCAGTCGCACACCTTGTCTCTGGAGATCAGCTTTTTTTTTTTCCTCAGTCTGTGTTTGGATAAGGCTTTGGGTCGGGAGCTGATCATCCTAGTGCATCGTAGGTTGAGTGTCTGTGAGCGTATTATTCCTTTTGCTAGTGCCACTTGCTCTGTGGATGACTTCTTTCATCACCTTGATTTTTGAGAGTAGACGGAGGTCAGTAATTAATCAGTTGAATTGCAGGTTTAGGCCTGCTTGTTTGTGGGTGGGATGTACTTGGGCAATTTTCAACCCTTTTTTTGTCTTTTTACAATAATGTGCTGGGCTTCCCCCCCCCCCCCCCCCCCCCCCCCCCCCCTTTAGGATGGAGTTATTTGTGGAGCTGCCACCTCCTCTTGGTTACTTATTTGCACACCACCATTCACTGGATATGACAGTACTGCAGAGGTTGGATCTGATTTCTTGGTTGTGGTTATTGCTTAGCCCTGTGATATAACTTAACGTTTTTTTTTAAAGTATGTCTGATGTGGTTCCTGGCTTGCCAACCTGCACTCTGCGTTGAACTAGGGATGATATCTTGGCTTGATGGTTGGGGGTGGCAGGGCTGAATATGCCAAGCCATAACATTGCACATTGTCATTTGTCATTGAACGCAGGTCTACTGCTGATATCCATAAGGCTCTGTAGGATAACCAGTTTTGAGTGCTGGATCTGTTCAAAATCTGTATGGTGGTGTGGAGCACAACAGAGGATCTGTGAAGACTGGATTAATCCCCATAATGACTGTGGTGGTCAGTCCTACTGATGTCTTCAAACAAATCTGTTGTAGATAAGGTCAACTAGATTCTTGTCTCATTTGTTCCCTCACCAGCTGTTGCAAACTCAATGTAGCATCTATGATTTTTTAGAACTCTGTCATCCTCATCTAGTGCGGATACCACTGAGCCAACCTTGATTGCGATTTGAAGCCCCATACAGAGTACATTCTGTGCCCTTGCCAATCTCCACGCTTCCTTAAGATGGTGTTCGTCATGGGAGAGGTATTGATTTGTCCACTAAGACAAAAGTTTCCTTGCTCATGTGTGACCTGATGCCATGAAACATGATGGGGCCTGGAATTAATATGGAGGAACCAAAGCAAGTCCTTCCTAACTATATATTACTGTGTCACCACCCCAACTTTGTACAATTTCTATCAATGACTTGGCTTGGAGCAGGTGGTGAATGTGTTGTCTATGGTAACATTTTTTTTTAAATGGAGAGGTGAAGGCAAACTTGAAAGCACTTACAGATATGAATATAAAGGTCTCCTTGTTTCCCGACCCTACCCCATCTCGCCCCTTCTCAAAGTTGGTGGCTAAAACTTTTAATCTTTAACTAAGATGGTGATTATGGTTCCTACTTTTTCGATACCGACTTATCATTAAAAGTGCCACAATTAACTTGTCTTGGAATATTGTTCAAAGTATTAGCTGAGATTTTTCTGCTCATCCAAATGAATAGGCAGAAATGGTGGCAATTATTTTGTTCTAATGGTGGGGTGGGGGGAGAAAAACACCACGGTTTGTTGAAATGGGACTAACTATATTATGTGGTTCTAATTACCAACTGTTAAATTTTGTTAGGAAAATGAGCATAAAGTTTAAAGAAGCCCTCAACTAACTTCTGCGTTGTTTCAAGCAGACGTTGCGCCTTTACAATCGCTAGACTAAGTTGATACTTTAGTAAGAATTCACATCTTTCATTGACTTAGATGCAATTTTTTAAACCAGTAAAAGCCACGCATCAGAATTGTGGGGGAAAATGTTAAATGTCATGGTAACAACCTAACACACTGTTGGATTGGCCTCAAGTGCCATATCTGCCTGGAGGGATCAATACGACAGACCTGTAGCAGGTTTAAAGACTAATCCCCTTTTAAATGAAGAACTTGAGTCTCCCTTGTTAGGGTATGAGTCATTTCTCCAATTTACTCAATGGCATGAGGGTGCCCAGAGACAGCTGAAAATGAAGCTCTTTCAAATCCTCTTCCCAAATGATAAGGTGCTTAATGTTATTGCAAAAGTAGATATTTTAATAGGTTCTTCTAATCGCTTGAATTTTTTCTCTGCGATAAACTTTGGTTTTTTTTTAATAGACTGATATCCTAACTATGAAACTAAAACATTTTTTTGAACAAATTACAGCATTCCAGCCTTATTCCCAGAGTCTCCACGCTGGCTTCTTGCGACCAGACAGATTCAGATGTGTAAGCACATTATGCGAGGTATCGCAGCTAGTAATGGTGTCAATGTGGATGATGAATTATACACCCCAAACAATGTATTTAATGGTATGTGATACGCTGTGAATGAGCAACGAAAAAGCAATTGAACTTACCAGTGTGTTTTAATGAGCAAAGCACACAACTTCATCAGGCCTGCTTCTCATCTAAATTTCATAACAAATAAACTTTCTTTATGGATCCCAAGCCCTCTTCCCTATCACTATCCTAGCTCCACAATTTGAACTTAACCTTATGCTTTCCACTCATGTTTTTCTTGTTGCACTCCTTCAAGCACAGTTAGACCAGCGTAATGTTTGGCCGATTTTATACCTGTAGCCTTCAATTCTGTTTTTGATGAATGGAGTTTCTGAAATAAAGAAAGCTGCTGGAAACAAATTGAATCTGTCAGAGCTGGGGAAGGACAAAGGCTAATGAATATTTGAATATCCTTCCTTGGAACTGAAGAAAAGATGTAATGGGTTTTGAATTTTCCTAAGTTAGATGACCACATGTGGAAGTAATGCCTTATTGTAAAGTATTCGGGAAGGTTTAAGCAACATTAGTTGCAAAATAAAAGCTTTTCATTCTAAATGTGTTCAGTCTTTTACGTAGATATCTTTCAGTTATCAATATGCCTTTTAATGTTTTAGAGACCACTTAAACTTCCCATCATGTCTGCTGTCCTGCAAAAATACAATTCTCATGAATCTCCCTTAATCACCTTTTTAGCTGTAAATTTTATAAACCAAAACCTAAAATGCATGTAACATTTGTTGAGATAACAGCGCATACATTTGAGGAGAATAAAGATATCCTTGTTGTGTTAATCTTCTTTCTAAGTGGAATATCCATAATTGGATTTATTATTGAAGTAAAGTTACAAACATGTTAAAAATAATGGTCTGTCTTGGCATGAATATCTTTCTTCAGTGCATCAAGATGATTATTGAGCATTTTGCCTCCTTTTGTCTTTTCCCCACACCAACCACAGAGATGGATTTTGTATTTGGCAAGTTTACGGAGTCTCGTATTTATAGTTTCTGTGATATGGCCACTACTAAAGTCATTTGGAAGAACATCTTAATACTGGGGTTCACCACGTAAGTGAAGCCATTTAGTAATATTTCTTTCACTGCTACCTACCCTAGATCCAGTTGTATTTCAAAAACGAGTTGAAATACTCCCGTTATCTTGAATGCACATCAAGCAAATCATGTCTGTTTAGTGTGACAGTGACCTGCATTAATGTAACACTTTCTTCATTAGGAATATTTTCCTAGAAGGGAAAAGTGAACTTGCCAGTGGAGAGCAGTTTATTTATTCATGAAATATAGCCATCACTGTTAAAGACTGATATGTATTGGGTATTCCTATCTCCCCAATATGACAAAGCATTACAAGACTATCTTAAAGGAAAATCTGTCAATAACATTGGACTAGAGTCTCCATAAAGGCAAAACCAGGTACAGTGACTGTTTTCCCTAGCTATTATTTTGCGACTATATCAAACTGACAAATCTGATGGGCGGGAGATTGGACAGCTTGTGTTTTAGAGCATGCAAGGGAACATTGCAGAATTTCAGTAAATTACAGAGAATGAGTGATAATTTAAAAGTTTGAGCACAACAGATTAACTTGCAGTGAAAGAGTAGGTTGAGGCAATCAACAGTCTGGTTCAAGCCCAAGGTAGTGACTTTGACACTGAAGTTATTGTCATGAACTTGAATTTTTTGCATAAATATGTGGTTTTGGTCTTACTGGTTGGCAGACAAGCTGTGAACATTTTTTTTCCATGTATTCCAGGTTGTGCTGCAAAGACAGTAACTGGTGGAAAGGGGGTAATTCAAGAAGTAGACTGAGTATGTGTAGAGGGTAAACCCATATTTTTGGACCGTGTCATCAACAGGAAGCATATGAATCGGAAAGGAAGCTAGGATCAATTATTCTGGAACTTGAGTAGTAACTATGCAGGGCCTAAAAGAGAACCTGTTGCTGGAGGTTGTCTGGCTGTGAACAAATGGGGTAAAATCCAACCAAGAAAAGCTAGCCTTTCTGTAAGAAAGATACTGTGGAAGGTATATGAAAAGCCACAGAAATAGAGGTGTAAATGCATCATGATTATGGTTAGAGAAAATGTATGAACGGAGTTTGAACACTTCCTAACCAATTTCCTATGAACGCCAAATCACACTTTATCTTTATGGAAGTCACCCTTTCTCATGCTGGAAGGTTGGCTGTTGTTAGGACTTAGTGATGCAATTGGACTGCAGTTTCTTTGATTGGGAGTTGTACGCACAAGTTCACCCACACCAAGTATATCTATCTTTTTCACAGTTTTTCCTTCATTCAGAGCTCACTTTTTTATTCTGTTGTTAGCACCTACTCTGGATCTGTGCATCGTACTTTCTACAACTCTGGGCTGGATCTTTAATTGTTTTGGCTAAGTGCTAGTTATGTCATTTTTAAAATTTTCTTTTGCCTTGAGTCCTCAAGAGACCATACCATACTAAACTCACCTAATTAACCTCCCAACCCAATCCTATGGCATCCTTCTCATCTGATTCTATTCCCATCTTGCCATGCGCATTTTTCAAAATAACTCTCCATTCAGCCGATCTCCATCAACTTTAAAAGGCCACTGTGCACCTGGACAAACATTGACAATCTGCTTTTGCCCTTCACTGCCATAAAGCCCCATACACAATGTGAACTTCCTCCTCCATAGAAGACTGCTCCCACTCCCTTTGTTCCTCCATAGCTAACAAAAAGCGTCACTGCCTGCTTCAGTTGTACACAGTACAGCACATCAGCATGGTGCAACACATTCTGTCTGGAGTATTCTGAAGGCCCCCACCCTGAAATCAGTCGAGGCAGCTGAACTACATCCTCTGGAACCCAGTTGTCTACCTTCGTCAAAGCATGCACACTTATTTAGTGAAGGCGTACACTGGCTGGATGACCAACACTTTACATCAAAAAGAGAGCATCCTGCACAGTGAGCCTTTTTTTAGCGCAGACCCACACAAATCATTCAACTTTTCATTGTCTTTAGTTCAGTCAATGATAATACTTGACATAAGGCGCAGTGATGTTTCCCTCATCCTCCTGATTCCCCTTGGAAGTTTCATAAGTGATGGAATAAATTTGACTAGTCTTTGCCTGATTTTGAGGCATTGAAATATCAATGATGCAGAATTTAGTGGCAAACACCAGTAGTAAGGTGCAATTCATCTTTGAACAACACTTTAAGCCTAAACACATTCACTCTCTATACTCTGCAAATGGGCAACAACATAATTGTACATGAAATGTACACTTTCTTTAATGATGTCCACCCTGCCTGCTGTGTTCTCCTGTGGAGGCCATGATGGTGGTCACTGCCAATAAACCTCCCCTCCCTTAGCCTACTATCCTCTCCAATACTGTTCTGCATGTCCCATATATTTTGCACAACAGAAGCAATAACACAGAAGTTGCTGGAAAAGCTCAACAGGTCTGTGAAGGAAAAATCAGAGTTAATGTTTTGGGTCCAGTGACCCTTCCTTTAGCATCAGCAGTTTGGTTTTATCCAATATATTTGGTTTGGGGAACTAATTTTAAAAAAAAAAGTCTTGTGCTACTTTCTCTTGTATTGATGGTATTGTACATTACTTTCTTATGTTTTATTATATTGCATTTTTTGTCTAGTTTAGCATTACGCTGGTTCTTTTGATTTAACATGAGGTTGACTTTCTTTTTGTCTTGTGATTTATGATCAATATTGACACTATTTATTTATTTTTCCAAAAAGCAATCAATCTAAATAATCAAATTTGACAACATTAATATTCAAGTGTTCTGTCAACAAATCAGGTGGGGACTTCAGAAATGCCTTTACTCGTATAAAGGTTAGAATAGACAATTTGCTACCAGAAGGAGCATTTGAAATGAATATCAAGGTGAAGTTAGAAAAGTATATAAGGATGAAGAGAAAAGAAGGATATCCTGGTGAGATTAGATAGCAAGCGTGGAGAAAACCATGAATGGAGAATAAACTGCAGCATAAACCAGTTGGGCAGATAACTGATCTCTGCTGAGGCCTCTAATTCTGTGTGATGTTTAATTCTAACAGTGAGTCTTACAGGTATTATTCTACAGATGTTGATGGTCTTTAGTGATTTTCCTAGGCTCACAGCTCTAGAAGAAATTCTGAATAATAAAAGATGACTTCTCATATCTTTGCTCAAGGAGTAAAGATATTAACCTCATTGCATTTCTTATTTTGTTGTTTCTTTTTTTTCTTGCACCAGCATACTTGCACTGACATTTAAAGTTGACTGATTTGAGCAAAATTAAAATGCTTATTTCTATTTTACCGTAAAACCTATTGCATCTCCTTTCCTTCCTCCAAACTTTGATCTTAGTTTGCATTTGACATTTCAGTGCTTCCATCTAGAAGGGATAACTTTATTTGTTTCATCTCAGGTTCATTGGCAATGGAATCCAGCATTGTTTTTCCCAAATCCTCACTGGCTATAGTTCTAGGTTCTACTTGAGCTATTTTGTCACTGCTGCTGCTGAAGGTGTGGCTCTCCTTTTCCTATACTTCACCGTGAACAAGTTTGGCCGACGTGGTATTCTACTACTGTCAACAATCATCACAGGCATGTCATCGCTGCTATTGCTTGCTCTCGCACAGTGTAAGTATAGGTGGTCGCTACAATTTTTTTAGCACTGGGAATAGAAAAATAGGTTTTTTTTTGCTTGTCTCTTTCCATTACTGTAAAAACAATTTTCAGCAAAAGCTGCAATAAATGCAAAATTACCTCTACTGGATTATCTGGATGAAATTTGCTGAGGGATCAGCTCCAAGTATATTTAAAAATAAAATTCCCTGTATTTTTGACTTGCCTCCTTTTAAAGGATAAAGGGGTATTGATGAGTCTGAGTTTGTCACAGTTGGAAAGGATTAAAATTAGTTGCTAAATTGCAAATGGAAATGAAAGCAATGCTGCTCCGGTTGTGAAAATGACAACCTTGTTCAATTCTACAAGGACTTTCTTAACAGACATGGTGCTGGATTCTTTGTTTGAGATTGTCACAAGTGATATGTAGCTAGTAACCAAATTCAGGAATGACTGAAGACCACACATTTCTATCTTGTGTAATAACAAAATCACACAAAGGTTGATAAGTACTCTAAATGTGAATAATCCTAAAATGTTAACCACCTGTTGAGAGGATTAAATAAAGAGAAAATAATTAGCCAACTGAAGTTTATACCTAATCAGAGGGGAGCCATATCTCCACTGGTAAAGTCCTACTTAGCATGAAGGAAAAAGTATTTGTTGGAGGCCATTAACTCTGCCCCAGGAAATCTGTCTACTTGAGTGTTCCAAATGCTCAGTCATTTTCAGCTGTTACATCAACAATCTTTCCTCTAACAAGGTCAGAAGTGGAAATGTTCACTGATTAAAGTGTTCACCGTTTCCAAATCCATCAGATAATAGAGCAGTTCATGACACCTTGCAGCAAGAACTGGACACCATTCCCAGGCCTGATAAATGGCAATGACATTTTCTTGCCACCAGCTAATAAGAGTCTAACCACCTTTCCCTGACATGTAATGGCATAACAATTGCCAAATCCCGCACCAGCAGTACTCTGGTTCATTACTGGCTGACTGGGAAGCTTTTTTTAATAAATACAGTAACTAGCAAAGCATATTTAAAGTCTCTTATTCTGCATGTTGCAGTCTGAAACTGTGGCTACTAATGATAAAGGCCCAACTTACTTCCATCACTTGGTTGACCAGGTGTCTCTTCCACTCTTGCCACCTGCTATTGCTGGGTCAATGTTTGTTGTATGTTTATATTAACTTGTTTTCCACATGATGAACACCCCTTCTGTGGCCATTGATCTGGCTTAGAAGTTGAACCCAGAGCTTGAGTCAGATGCAGAGATGCTATTCATTGTGCCAAAAGCTATCCCATCTAGAAGCTAGGAGACCAGAATGTGGTTGAGTATGTTGTACTGTCTGCATGAGTGCAGCAGAAGCAGCACAAATCGGTTGAGGCAAAGCATCTGCTTCATTTGCTTAACTCCCTATTGACCACATTAAGCATTTGCTCCCACTTCCATTGGCACACCATGGCTGCAAACCATATCTGTTGTATAATGCACTACAGCAACTCAGCAAAGCTCCATTAGTAGTACTTTCCAAAGCGGTGATCCAGGCTAGCTAAAACAGCAAGGGTAGTAGGTGCATGGGGATAGCACTTTTTTTTTCCCCCAATTTTCTTTCAAACTTGCATGCCCTCCAGACTTGAAAATATTGCTGTTCTTTCAATCCTGGATCACTCTTCTGCTTGACTAAATTGCCAATTTATATCCGCACCGCGTTCTTTCAAGAAAAGATTTACCAGGATGTTGCCAGGAATGGAGGGTTTGAGATATAAAAATAGACTGGACAGTTTGGAACTTTTTTTTTTCACTGGAGCAGAGGAGGTTGGGTGATCATCTTGAGGTTTATAAAATCATGAGGAACATAGATAAGGTGAATGACAAGGGTCTTTCCCTAGGGTGGGAAGTTCAAAACTAAGGGGCATATTTTTAAAGTGAGTGGAGAAAGATTTAAAAAGGACATGGGAGGTAACTTCTTTTACACAGACTGGTTTGTGTGTGGAATGAACTGCTAGAGAAAGTGGCAGATGGAGGTACAGTTACAATGGTTAAAGGACATTTGGATAAGCTCATGAATAGAAAGGGTTTGGAGGGATATGGGCCAAGTGCAGGCATGTGGGACTATTCCAAATTGGGAACATGGTCTGCGTGGCCAGGTTGGAGTGAAGGGCCTGTTTCCATGCTGTATGACTCTAACTTTATAAGAAGGTAGCTTAGTGCCACTGAAGATGATTACAAATGAGTAACAAATGACCATTCCTGCAGTGTTCATAATACTATAAGTGAATAAAAATAACGAGTTGGTAAAATTCTCAAGAAACCAACTACAAACTTGATCACATGGTATTTATATAATTTCCCTGGTTACCAACTTGGTTAATTCTAAAACTTTTGTTATTTTTCAACTTGTGCTACTGAAAAGATGGAAGGTAAGCTTTTATAGGGTACGTGTATTAAACCTTTAATTGAGGTGCTAATGTGAAGTTCACGTCAATGAAGCTGGGAAGATATTTTAATTGGCACATTAATGTTTCAACCATTTTAAACACTTTTTTTGTACCTGTTTTAGCACCAAATGTTCCTAGCATCACAGATGCCAGTCTGTAGCCAATTTGATTTACTCCATGTGCTATCAAGAAATGGCTGGAGGCACTGGATGCTGTAAAGGCTATGAGCTCCGACAATGTTCCAGCATTAATATTGAAGGCACATGCTGTAGAACTTGTCTAGGCTGTGGCCAAGTTGTTCCAGCACAGCTACAACACTGACACCTGTCTGACAATATGAAAAATTGCTGTATGTAAAAGGCAGCATACATCCAACCCAGCCAGTTATCCCACCATCTGTCTATGCTTGATGACTAGTAAAGTGATGGAAGATGTTATCAAGACTACTTATAAAACAGCACTTATTAATAACCTGTTCACTGAAGCTCAGTTTGGTTTTTTTTTGCCAGCGTTGCTCTGATTCTTACAGCTCATTACAGCCTTGGTCTGAACGTGGACCAACAAGCTGAATTCAAGTTGTGAGATGAAAGTGGCTGCATTTGATATGAAGTGGGGCATCAAGGAACCCTAGCACAATTGGAGTCAATTTGAATCCAAGGGCAAACTCTCTTCTCTAATTAGAATCATACCTGGCACAAAAGAAGGTAGTTGTGATTTCTAGAGGTCGATCATCTCTACTGCAGCTGATGCAGTGGGCATTGGCCCAATCATTTTCGTTGACCCACCTTCCCTCAAGGTCAGAAGTGGGGATGTTCACTGACTGCACAATGTTTAGTACCATTTGTGACTCAGAGGCTGAAACAGTCCATATCAAAATATAGAAAGACCTTCGCAATATCCAGGTTTGGGCTAGCAAGTGACAAATAACATGCATGCCAAGCAACAACCATCTCCAGCAGGAGCAAATCCAACCATCGCTCCTTGGTATTCAATGGCATACCATTACTAAATCCCCCACTATCAACATCCTGGGGTTACCATTGACCAAAAACTGAACTGACTTAGCTATATAGGTACTGTGCCTACAAGAGCAAATCAGAGGTCAGGAATCCTACAGCACATAACTCATCCTAGGGCTCCCTAAAGCTATCCACCATCTAACTGGCACAATTCAGGAGTGACATGCAGTGCTCCCTGCTTACTTGATAAGTGCAGCTCTAACAACATTGATGTTTGACATCATCCAGGGCAAAGCAGCCTGCATTGCCACCACGTTGACATTCATTCATTCCCTCTGCCAGTAACAGTCGTGTGTGTCATCTACAAGATGCAGTATAGGAATTCTCCAAGGCTCTTTAGACAGCACCTTCCAAACCTATGACCACTATTATCTAGAAGGGCAAGGGCAGCAAATACATGGGAATGCCACCACCTGTAAGTCCCTCACCATTTGAATTGGAAATATATTGCTATTCCTTTCAGTGTTGGTGGTTCAAAATTCTGGAGCTCCTTTTTGTCCTTTCCCCGCCCCCCCCAAAAAACAACCATGTGGGTCTACCGGCAGCAAAGGGAATGTAGTAGTTCAAGGCAGCTCACCACTGCCTCCCTGAGGCTAGCTAGAAATGGACAACAAATGCAGGAAAATTTACAGGAATTAAAACTTGATTCAATTTCAAGCTAACTTTAAAACTGACCACCTGTCCTTTTCCCCAGCGTTCCCACCACAGTCAGATGCACCCCACCTGCCAGTTTGCCCCTTCATTCCCTAACCTGGCACTTTGCTCCTTCACCCAACATACCTTAGACACTTATCTTCTTTCAGCTGTTAGGACATCTTTGGAATCTTTAATGCAACAAGCAAAATGTTTGAGTTATTGCTAAGTGGATTACTACATCATCTTGTATGGTGCAGGTATCTGAGACAGGCCAAACCCTAAAGCCTGGCCATAAAAATTGCTGGCCAGTAGGTAGATCACCTTTAGTAGGTTTTCCATCAGTCAGATTGTTCTGACAGTAATTGAAAAATTTGGGCCATTAGGTCAGATGGCCAAAAGCTTGGTCAAAGAGATAGGATTTAAGGAATGCCTTGAAGAAAGAAAGGGCGATAGAGAAATATAAGAATATTTCAGGCAGAATTTCCCATCATAGATCTATAGAGCCATACAAAATGAAACCAGACACTTCAGTCCAACCCATCCGTGCCACTCTGGCACCAATACTGAGGAATATGCAATTTTGTACTGTTGGGACAGTCCACATCTGAATTGTACTGAGACTCGTGTTCTTGTGAACTGTATAACTAGGGAGGTAGAGTAGGTTTTGGACTAAATAGTGAGGGCAAGGGCTTGGGAATTTGTGGTAAATCAGAATGGAATTAATACAGGAAATGGTAGACACAATGACTGGAAGGCACAGAGAATCAGCAGGTAAAACTAAAGGTTACAAAAATAATAAGGACAATTTGAATACATGTAGCATTCAAAACAAAGCAGATGAACTAGTGCTACAAATTGAGATAAGTACAATCTAGCAACCATAAACTGAAAAGTGGCTGCAGAATGACCTAGATG